CCAACTTTGACTTAACGATAAATTATATACGCAAACAATGACATTGTATCGACCATAAACTAAAGTTTGCGAAAAGTAGAATTTAAAGCAAAATGAGCTGCAAATTTGAAGTCGGAATTTTTGTTGCAAAATTGTGATTAATTACCGGTATATCATTGAAAGAAAAAAAGAATATTTAAAAACTTCTGTTGCCCATATTTGTGATGGAAGAACTATTTGTAATGTTTGATGGAAGCAAAAGTACATTATTGTCATTCTGTTCTACAGGTACATTGCTTTCTTATATAATACAATACACCATACTATTCAGAAATCTTACCTATGTTAATTTTGACATGTTTTCCATTCCGTTTCATTAATATTCTTCTCAAAACACGTCAAAAACCATTTGATATAATACAACACTAACATAATTATTTAGAAATACATTTTATTTTTTTCAATTAGATGTAAAAAAAAAAAAATCTACAATTCAGTAGCATTTTCAGGACGGTGCGTACACTTTATCCATATCGACAATTGAAAATCATCAATTGAAAATATTTATTTTAATATTGTAATTTAATAAATGATTGCAGTTGGACAGAAAAATTGACTACAAGTAATTAAAGTTCGAACAGAAAAAAAAAGATTTACGTTGTCTAACATATGAAATTTAGAAATAGGCTGTTAGCTACATGAATGAAATAGTTTAAAACTTATCATAATAAAAATTAAATTTATTATTATGACATATTCAATGATTAAGGATAAATATGCGCATTATAAAGTGTAATTACAAATTATCTTTCTCATACAATTTTAAGCAAGTAGGGTACCATTTAGTCTGGATATCATCACTGATTAATTATAGAATACTGCTGGAGGGAATTATTACATATCACAATATAAACATCTTGTACTATTCCATAACAAACATGCATCACCTTTCATAACCACGGCTCATAAGGTCACTGGTATAAATCCGTCAACCCGTGTATTGGCCAGTGCATTTCGAGTCTGGCAAAAATGTAAACACTACTTATAAGGTGAATGAACTTTAAATGAAAAAAAAAATGAACAGTAAGTACTTCAAATTACAGATACTAGCATGTATATCTTATTACACTTTTTTCTACATATAATTCCTCTTTGATGCAGACTTTCCCTGTTAGTACTTGGATTTCAAGAAGCGAATATTTATATATCTTATATATATTTTGTTCTAATTCCTCTTTATTGCAGATAAATCACTCAGTTATTGGAACTGATTAGTAAAATGTGACTCATTATTTTTTAAATGTTGGTTTATTTTACAGGTAGCCACTTGACCTTTATAATTCTGCTTCTCCTCTCAGTGGTGTGTGTGTGTTTATCTCAGACCTGTGCGATACCCTTGTGGACAAACGGATGTAGTGTTCCTCTCCACCTGCCGTTCTTCTATAAGGATAAATTTACAACTTCCTGTAATCATCACGATGTGTGCTACCACTGTGTACGTACAACACTAACAAAAATACACTATCCATGTCCTCTTAAGACAATCAATTTCAGTGTCGTCATGAAAGCTTAAAAAATTTATATATATAAAACATGTATTGCAAAACAAAAGAAATTGAATTACATAGTAATAACTCTAAGTAAAATATATGGTTGACATTTCTTATACATAAGATAAGATAGATAAGATAATATATATAAAAGTCGGGTACAACAACAAAGAACATTAGCTCTAAAGAGCTATTTTCCGACTGAAATTAGTGATGTTTGATTTTGGAAAATACGTGCGTATTCAAGTGAAATGATATAATATTTGCTTATATCACTTCCCGGTGTGCTTTTTTTTCCCAATTATATATATATATATATATATATATATATATATATATATATATATATATATATATATATATATATATATATATATATATATATATATATTTTTTTTTTGACTTGTGTAGAGTATTCTAATGTTCCAAGTATAACACCATATTCTCTTTTCTTAATCAAGAAAACGTTTTGATATGTCTACATTTGATCAAGTTTAGAAATTTATCTTGATTTACATGATTTAAACATCGATTTGCCCTTCCAAACTAGATTAATTTTTTGGAAGTATATATAAAACAAAAATTATCCATGAGAATTTTTCAATTTTATCATAAAAATAATAAGGTTTTGCGCAACATACCTGCTTCAATGCTCTTGTTATATGCATTTGGTTGAGGTGGATTTTCACTACCTTGATCTGAGAGCCATAGGTTTCTTTAATAGCTGAACTTTTGCCTGACTATAAATTAAATTTAATTTATATAATTATTTTTCATTCATTTTAGTTTATTAGTTAATATATTAAATATCTATTTGATACAATTACAAACATGTTAATTTTGTATATGAATGCTATGCCACAGCGAGCATGCTTATAGTGTCTTGTTGTAGATTAGTAAAGTAAGGAGTTGGTCCTTACATCGCTTGTTTTTGAATCAAACTGAGATGGCGATGAGCTGGGGACGTAGATCCCGGTCTTTTAAATTAATGGATTAAATTTGCAGTCTTTTACCAGCAAGTGGTGGTGTCCCCAGAATGAAAAAAAAAATCTTGTAAGAGATGTTATGCAAGCGACTCAGCTAACAAAAAAATAATGGAAGTAAAATATATATTCAACATAGTAATTGTTACTAATAAAGTCTGAAATATATGTACGCATATGACAAGAAACATATTTTTCAAAATCATTATCACAAATTTAACCAAATTTCCTTTCTTTAAAACAGGGTTACACCTATGGAATACCAAGAGAGACGTGTGATATCAATTTTCTTCGGAAAATGCTACGTCAGTGTAATGTATCAAATAGAAAACGTTTGTGCAAGTACTTTGCAAAGCTGGACTACAACGTTGTACGAAACATGGCGGTGTCCCACTACAGCAGGGAGTACAGACCACAGTGCTTACACCCTCTAGCTTTGCCTTGCTTAGAGTAACAAACCTTAGGAGTGAAAGCTGTAAATAGAAAATTATATTTTAAAGCAGGAGGCTTGACGCATTTGATTATTTATACAGACATGTTTTTAGCAATATTTCTTTATAGACATTTTCATTTTTTATGTATTTCATGACTATATTGACCGTGTATACATAAACTATATTCTATTGTTATATACTTTAAATGGTGTTTGACATTTTATTTTGAATTACGTCCACAATTTGAATAATTGTTTTACAATTGAAATATTTTACGATTGATTTAAATTGGAAAATTTGATCAAATAAAATTTGATAGATTGATTTCCAAAACTTGATACATTACAAACTTTCATAGATTTTATTTAATGCAAAATCAATTACCTCATTATTTCGGGAAATTATCATCAATCATCACTTAAACCTAGAATTTCCACTTCCTTCCTTCCCTGGCGCCTTTATTTTAAGGACGACATACTATAAATTTATATAAAGCTGTTTTACGGATTGGTATTTATAGATGTGTGTATTAACTTTTTTAAACAAAAAATAATTTTGATTTTTAAAATCAATTTGGTTTACAAGTTGAAAGTTGACGACTTTATTTTGGAATTTAAGCAAATGTTTTTGATTAAGTCTACGTGTATACAGTAATTAATTTGGTCATGGTAAGAAATCACTGTAAACAGTGCGACATTTAACTCCGGATATGACGTTGTCCAGACTATTTACTACCATTTCCAATTGTTATGTACGAAAAATGTATCCCAGGGTCTTATCTTAAACTAAAAAAAATTTGAAGATATGTACTAGTCATAAAATTCATACTAGTATCACCATGGGAGAATAATGGGATGTTTACTCCTAACAACTATCCCATCTTTCTCCCACGGAAGAAAGATGTTAAATGGGAACTTATCTCCCATAAATAAATCCCATAAAATCCCATACATGGGATAAATTCTAAGAAAATTTATAATCAGACGTTTTCTCCCAAATGGTAATCTGGAAAAGATCACATGACAATTAACTTGATTATCCTATTAGTGAAAAAATATTTATTTTAAATTCAAGAAAAAAAATATTGTTTTAATGATATTTTAAAATATAAAGATAATTACTATAATTCTTTATAAGACAAATTGTCAGGAAATACATTATATACTAATAAATGGTCCAAGTGGAAATGTCTTTTTAATGTGTCTAATAGTAACTCTTAATATAATTACTGATTGAACATGCATTGCATATTGCGTAAGTTTATGTGTATGTATATTATATGTATATAGATGCGTGTGCTTTTATCCTTATGTACATGTATGTCTATGTTTAACCATGCGTGTGTATTTGATTTTTCCAACAAGTATGAGAGTGGGGGAGAGAGGTGTATATGTTTTGCAAAAAATTAAATCAATTCAAAAAAAAAAAATTTCCCAAACATTGTTAAACATGGGATACACAACTGTATTTCATAAATTATGATAAAGACATACTATCATTCATCATAATATATGGGATATTTTCAACGATTAACAATTTATTGGAGAAAATGACCCTATCTTATGTTTTAATCATCCTTAAATAGTTCTCTTTTAATTTTATCGACAGATCCAATATCTCACTCCACCGTCAAACAGAGATTTCTTTAAAGACTGCTCAGTAAAACATTGAGAATGTTTTAAAAGAGTTTTAAAAGGCAAAAGAGTTTTATTCAAGGGGTCGATACAACGCATTATGCCTGAGAACACAGTCAATAATTGATTTGTTGTATCATTTACTTTTTTGGAACATATAAAAAACGTAAATATGATTTGAATTCTTTTACCAGCACTGCAGGTCTGTCGAACTTCAATAAATGCAAATAAGATATGCACTGTAGCTGACCTTGCCCACCCTATGATACAGGCGATCCAACATTTCATCGACAGGTCCAAAATCATCGATTTTTAGATGCCCCCTCAGTAAAAAATTGAAATAGAAAATAAAATACGACACATTTTTAAAGGTATATCAACATAAATTTCAGATCCTATCAGATATATCTACAAATCCCCCTATAATTGGAATTTTATTGGCGCGCATCTAAGTACTGCATTTAATTAGTGCGTTAAATGGCGAAGTTTCATAATGCGGTAATATTTGGTTGGAGAGGATCTGTAAAAAGTTAATTTTCCTTTACCTTTTCAAACGTTTGCAGTGTACAAATTTATATGATTTAAGAAATGAAATATATACTAGTATATGCAAAACCACTTAATTTTTGCCTTAGTTTGCGGTTATCTTACCAGTTCTAACACAACACAGACCGTGACGTGGCACGTGATTTGAATGCAATGCACCTTCCTATCTCTCAGGTTCTTAATTAAGTGCGGACTGTTAACACTTTACAACTTACAAAATTGTTATGCAAAATAAACTGAATCCTCACGTCATAGAAATATTACGTTACCATTTCCCCGCAAGTACTTTCTAGCAGGGTACAAGTTTCTCTAAAGTTAAGCGTAAATAATATCATGACGTAATATTTTAATAAGAAACTAATTTTTCTTATTTTATGACATTAAGCAAGTATGAAATAGTTTGAATTTGGCAATAAAGTGAAGATTTAATGAACTTTTGAAAGTGCGTGAAAATGCGTGATTGCGGGGAAACGGTAAATGCGTGATTTTGCGTCAGAAATAGGAAATGGTATATGCGTTAAAATGCGTGACTGCAGGGAAGGGGTTAATGTTAATATTCAGCTTGAAGAAAACAACTATGGTGATTACTTTTGAATGAGATTTGAAAGGGCATGCATATTTGACAAATATGCCATATAGAGAATGGCATCCGATCCCTTTAAATTTCCTTGTTTAAGTTTCTTTTTCTCATCTACATTCCAGATACTAGCATGTGTATCTTATTACACTTTTTTCAATTCCTCTTTGACGGAGAAACATAAGTGCTTTGATTTTCAGAAACGAATTATATTTATCATTTTTATCATATCTCTTATATTTTGTTCTTATTCTTCTTTATTGCAGATAAATCACTAAATCATTTGAAATGATTTGTAAAATGTGGCTGATTTTTACAGACAGCCACCTAACCGTTATAATACTGATTCTCCTCTCTGTGGTATGCGTGTGTTTATCTCAGACTTGTGCCATACCTCTGTGGACAAACGGATGCAGTGTTCACCTGCCGTTCTTTTATAAGAAAAACTTTACAACTCCTTGTAATCATCACGATGTGTGCTACCAACGTGTACGTACACCATTAACAGAAATCCACAGAAATCACTTTAAGCTGTCGTCATGAAAGCTAATAGAATTTATATATAAAAACATACATTACAAAACGAAAGTAATTTAAGCACGAAGTAATAATTCTAAATATATAGTTGACATTTCTTATACATGAAATTAAAGATGTTTGATTTTGGAAAATACGTGCTTGTTAAGTCAGATGTAATACTATTCACTTCCCGATATGCTTTATTTTTAATTATATTTTTTGACTTGTGTAGAATATTATAATGTTCAAAGTATAACAACATGTTCTATTTTCATAATCGAGAAAAAAATTTTGACATGTCTTCATTTGATCAAGTTTATAAATTTATTTTGATTTACATGATTAAAACACTGATTTGCCCCTCCATACTAGATTAATTTTTGGGAAGTATATATAAAACAAAAATTATCCGTGTGAATTTTTCAATTTTATCATAAAAGTAAATAGTTTTTGTGCAACATACCTGCTTCAATGCTCTTGTTATATGCATTTGGTTGAGGTGGATTTTCACTACTTTGAGAGCCATATGTATCTTTAATAGATGAGATTTTGCCCGACTATAAATGATTTTAATTCATATAATCATTTTTCATTCATTTTAGTTTATTAGCACTGTTGATATATTGAATATCTATTTGATGCAATTACAAACATGTTAATTTTGTATATGAATGTTTTGGCGTAGCAAGTATGCTTACAGTGTCTTGCAGTAGATTAGTAAAGTGAGGAATTGGTTCTTACGTCGCTGGTTCTCGAATTAAACTGTGATGGCGGTGAGCTGGGGACGTACATCTTTTACATGAGACCATAAAACTTGGTCCTGTTTAATATGTTGTACATGTATAAGGTTCCTTGCATAAAAACGATCCCTAACTGCTTCATGGCTTTAATTTTCGAACATTATTACATTTGCAGACTTTTACCAGCAAGTGGTGGTGTCCCGAGTATGAAAAAAAAAATCTTGAAAGAGATGTTATGCAAGCGAGTCAGCTAACAAAAAAATAATGGCAGTAAAATATATATTAAACATAGTTATTGCTATGAATAAAAACTCAAATATATGCATGCATATGACAAAAAGAATACTTTTCAAAATCATTATGATCACAAATTTCACAAAATTTCTTTTTCTTTAAAACAAGGGTTACATCTATGGAATACCAAGAGAGACTTATGATATTAATTTTCTTCGGAAAATGCTACGTCAAATAGAAAACGTTTGTGCAAGTACTTTGCAAAGCTGTATTACAACGTTGTGCGAAACATGGCGGTGTCCCACTAAAGCAGAGAGTTCAGACCACAGTGCATACAGCCTTTACCTTAAAAGTGAAAGCTGTAAATATAAAATTATATTTTAAAGCAGGAGGCTTGACGCATTTGATTATTTATACAGACTTGATTTTAGCAATACTTTCAAGATTGTTATTGTTATGTATTTTATGACTATATTGAGTTCACACAGCATTATAAAGCAAATGCAAATGATGACGTGATATTATGACGTCACTGATCTTTCCCATTCAAGGTAATAATAAAGACATCAACAACAAATTAACACCGGCGCAAGGGCATATTCTGTATAACTTTTTAATAAATAAAGTAGAATTTAAAGAAGAATGTTATAGAAATTAATATAATTGCTGCACAAATCCTATGCGTTTTTTTAATTTATAAAAACTTCCGGAAACTTACACCGGATAGTGAATTTTTACCCTGTTTCAACTAACAAAATCTTGAAATATTAACTAAACAATTGCACGGTCGACATTTGTGCAGCAATATCACAAATCCTTGTAATTTTCTGCGTCTAATAATACCTTGTTTCTTAATAACAAAGTTGAG